CCCCCCCCCCCCCCCCCAGTGTTGCTATAAATAAACGAGTAAGCTCCAAGAAAACGTTAAACTGTAGCGCAGGGGAGGACATCCTCCGTCTCAGCAGAGATAAGAGGGCTGAAGATGAAATGATTGGCCACTATTTTTAAGCGCCTTTCCAAATTGGGACTTAATTACCCATCTGAAGCTGTCCCGGTGGCGCAAATACTTCGGTTATCCACTTAATTAAAAATAAACGGGAAGGCACGCTAGCGCTGCAGCATTTCGTCTGGTTGTGTTGACTTTGAGCAAACAGAGGCTTCTGTGATGGCCTCCAGACACTTTTCTTTTTTTTAATCTCCTCTTGGCTCTGCATAAAGCAGCGACTTCTGCCCGAGACCTTCTGTTTGATTCATTTGGGTGCAGCCGGGTGTCTGGGGTCTGGCAGTTGTTTGCGGGTAGTGCTTTGAGCCACCTCATTTTCAGTAAACTCTGGCGGGTGTTGTGGCTGCTCAGCTACTTGTTGGAAACCAGTTCTAGAGGTTTTCCTTTTTCTTGTTCATTTTAAAAGGCTGGTGATTGACACTTCAGGATTTCTGATCGCTTAGGCACCTGCAGGAGTTAATGAGGAGATTATCGGGGTCAGGTTTTTCTCCCCTCGTTTCACGTGCTGCACGTGGGCTCCGCTGCTCTGAATAGAGCTGGGAGATCATCTTTGGAGGACAGAGGAGTAGGTTACAAATAAAAGTCCCAAATTCATTTCTTGATTAATTTTAATAGCTCAGACTAAAGCCTCTGACTGACGGTCCCCTCTAGTGGGACTAGTTTTTTGGGACTAGCGTAGCAGGGAGGTTTTGATCCCTCTTGGAGCTGCCCCTGAGATGGCAGAGGGGGTGCTGGCCTGGCTGTCACCTGTGCCTGAGTCTGTTGCGGGGTTCAGCCATGGACTGGAAGCGTTTCCCCGCCTGTTGCCGTGGTTATGGGAAGAGCTGGGAACAGCAGCAGCACCTGAGTCCCAAGGTAGGGACCAGCCCTCAGTTCCAAGGGAGAAAGGTGGGTTTTGGTGCAGCTCTGAGGGGCTCGGAGCCCTCGCTCACCTGTGCCCACGTTCAAGGTGTTGTGTCCAGGCGAACAGCGCTTCAGTTCCAGGTACAGTGCAAAAATAACTCAAGAAACAGGTTTCCAAGTGTGTACTGTACAGGTTAGGGATGCTTGGCTGGAGGGTAGCCCAGAGGTCCCGGGGCACACACCGCGGCTTCTCCACAGGCAGGTTCCTGCTGGAAGGTTTTGCTCAGCAGAGAACTGCTGCTGTCTCTGAGATCCTTTCTTTACTGTCACTCCCTCCCCTGCTCAGATTCGTGTCGATAGCGGTGCCTCGTCACCCACCCAACACACAGCAGTGAGCTCTGGATCCACAAGGAATACAGAGACAGTAAAATATTCCTGGCAGCCTTTTGAATCCCTCTTGTAGCAGGACTGTCTCGGAGTGACTGACGGCGCTTCTCCGCCTGCCCTGACCTTGTCCTCTCCACATTCTCGTGTCAGCAGCGCGTGTCGGTGTCACAAACGTCCCTCACCTGTTGCTGTCGCCCTAGTCTGCCAGAAAAGCGGGTGGGAGAAGCCCTGGGGGGGTCACCCTGCCCCCTCTAGCCCTTTTCTTCACTCCCCTGGCCCCTCTAAATGTTGGCAAAAAACTCGGACCGTGGGGCTGCCGATACTTCAAAGTGAGGGAGGTTTAAGCCTCTCCAGAACAGCAGTGATTTTTCTTCCAGGCTTGTGGAAGGTTGGTCTGTGAACACACCCACTGTAGAGGCAGATGTGAAAAAAAAAAACAACTAGATTTGAGAGCCCTTGCGCTGGCGCAGCAGTTTCTGACCCAGCAGAGCTGTAGCTGCACGGGGGACCCCTGAGCAGGGCTCCCAGTCCATTCTTCCAGGCTTGTGGAAGGTTGGTCTGTGAACACACCCACTGTAGAGGCAGATGTGAAAAAAAAAAACAACTAGATTTGAGAGCCCTTGCGATGGCGCAGCAGTTTCTGACCCAGCAGAGCTGTAGCTGCACGGGGGACCCCTGAGCAGGGCTCCCAGTCCAGAGCCACTTGCCCACTGCCTCCCCCACCAGTTTGGGGAGGGAGGTGGAAACTGGTGTGTGCTGGCAGCTTGCTGTCAGCCCTGCCTGCCCTCCCAGGCAGCCTCCTAAACCCCAGCCTGCAGCAGAGAGCACAGAGCGCGTGGCTCTGCCTGGAGAGGAGCTCAGAAGGAGCTGAGAAGTGTCTGTTGAACAAGGGGCTTCACAAGGCAGGAGGTTTTTAGAACACAGAAGAGCAGGTGCCTATAGAAGAGCTGGGGAGGGACTCTTTGCCAGGAAGGGTAATGATAGGACAAGGGGAAACGGTTTTAAATTGGAAGAAAAAAGATTCAGATTAGATCTCAGGAAGAAATTTTTTACTCTGAGGGTGGTGAGGCACTGGAACAGGTTGCCCAGGGAAGTTGTGGCTGCCCCATCCCTGGAGGGGTTCAAGGCCAGGCTGGATGGGGCCTTGAGCAACCTGGTCTGGTGGGAGGTGTCCCTGCCCAGGGCAGGGGGGTTGGAACTAGATGATCTTTGAGGTCCCTTCCAACCCAAACCATTCTATGATTCTATGATTCTAATTTTGTGTTTTCTCCCCCAGAGATGACTCGGCTGAAGTGGATGTTTACAACCCAACGAAGAACGAGTGGGATAAAATCCCTGCCATGCTCCAGGTGGGATGCTCACCAACCTGCTGGATGCCTTTTGGTGTTAAAAATTGGTTTCATTTCCCTTTGGAAAACCAAGTGTTCTTTAGCTTATAATAACCCCTTGCACACGGAGTGCATTTAAGTGTTATCTCAGTCACCTGGAAGGTAAAATAGAGGACTGTGTTTGTGTCTGTGGGTGCTCAGCCCCAGCAGAAAGAGCTGGAGAACTGTCTCCTCCTGGAGTTTGGGCAGAGCTGGGTCAGAGCCAGCGCCAGCAGCTGGTGGGCACCGAGTCCCATCCATGTGATGCAGGATGGTGCCCGACACCTTTATCATCTGCCTGGTTGGGCAAAACCCTCCTTTCTAATTGTTGTGTTTATTTATTATTTTTTTTTAAATTGTAGGTCCACGTTGGGGGCAGCGTGGCCGTGCTGGGTGGGAAGCTCTACGTCTCTGGTGGCTACGATAACACCTTTGAACTCTCGGATGTCCTGGAGGCCTACGACCCCGAGACACGAACGTGGAGCGTGGTGGGCCGCCTCCCCGAGCCCATCTTCTGGCACGGCAGCGTCAGCATATTCCGACAGTTCATGCCCGAAACCACCCAGGAGGATGACAGCATCACGCTGGTGGACAACACCATCAACCTCAACAGGCAGCGCCAAAACCTTCACGACCAGAACCTTAACGAGCTTCGTTAGCGGGGGGAAGGTGCTGTGTGTGTCCCCCCCCCCCACCTCTGGCTCCACGCGGGTTCGTTTTTAGTTTCTTTGAGAGAAGGCAGAGGCAAAGGAAACACAAACGTACTGAGGAGAGAGGGAG